GGGAGGGAGGGAGGGAGGGAGGGAGGGAGGGGAGGGAGGGAGGGAAGAAGGAAGGAAGGAAGGAAGGAAGGAAGGAAGGAAGGAAGGAAGGAAGGAAGGAAGGAAGGAAGGAAGGAAGGAAGGGAAAAAAAATCACAAAATACATTAAGAGGCTGATGACTTCCCCAAAGCCCTGACTTCTATCTGTCTGCAGATTGGTCAGACCTGATAGTGGCTTTCAGATGGGAGAGCAGGCAGTGCTGCAGGAAAGGCATTCTATTTCTTATAGTCTTTGTTTTCTGAAAAGTTCACTCAGATTTTGAGTAGGTAACATATCCATGCTGTCCTTACATATGAATGATGACCTATATAACTTCTAAGTGACCTGGAATACACTCTCTTTCTCACAGGCATACACATGTATGTACTTCAGCTTTCTGGAGCTGAGCACACTAATAATTTTAAGTACAATTATTCTCATCATCTTTTCTTTGGCTGGGTTTGGCATGGTGCTTTGGGAAGAAGCTTAAGACTACTACCTATGCCCCTGAGTCTTTCATATGTAAGGCTGCCATTGTGCAATGGGAATGACTGCACATGCCACGTTTAGACACTTCTAAATGATCTTAGGAAAGATGAGAAATTGGCTTTCTGACATCTGAAACTATGTATAATACTGTTTGTGTTCCTCAGCACACATTTCCTTCCTCAGTGTGTCCTTAGAGCCTGTCAATGTTTTGCAGTTCTGTCTTCTAATTACTTCCCATTGAAAGCTCCATCTTTCCCTGTGTACTTCCACTTTGACTTTCTTTTTAGTGGTAATGTTTTCTTCTGCCCTGGTACTCAGCACATCTTTCTGTATGACCAGTTTATATTCTTATTCTACAAAAGTTTGGGGTATAGAGGATCCATGTTTTTCTTAAAGTGATATTTGGACAGGACTTTGATTTTATTTTTATTGTTCCATGGGGGCCCTTCCCTTCTTTTGTTCTGATAAATCTCTAAAAATTCTGTACTTACTTACTCTTTTTGGATGAATTTTTCATCATCACTTTCTCCCTTTTTTAGGACGGGGAAGATTCTTAAACTCATCATGAAGTCTACACTGGCATTAATGGCTTCGTATGCCTTAGTCTTATGAATGCTGGGATTTCAGGTCTACACAACCATACTGACTCATCTGTTGTCCTGACTCAAGTACTCACAAGAAAGTTTAGACATGAAAGACTGATAATGTCAGTGTGATTTCTAGCCTTTGCTTTTCCCTGGCCAACTGAGACTGGAAACCTAGAGCTGCCTGCAACAGAGACATCTGTCACTCCTTCCCTCACTGAAGACGGCAGACAAACGAAACTTCCTATGGGACTGTTGCAAGCATGCTTTCCTAGCTTCTTGGCACACTGCTTCCTTCTAGTCCAAAAGTACCACCAGCTGCCACCTGGCCTCGCTGTGAACTTACCTCCACAGATTTTAAGTGTGTGTGTGTGTGGTAAACACAGATCTGTTCCTACCACATAAGGTATCGTCTTATAAAATGACACTTTTACTTTTTGCAGTTGATACAGACAAACTGCTAAAGATTTTAAGTTTACATTTATATTTTATACCCTTGTAATTAAAACATTTGTTTCTGGTGTGAACTAAAAAAAAAAAAAAGAAACAGTCATGTCCATGTTAAAGGTACTACAAGCATGATTAACTAGTTAAAATACCATAATTATAGACTGTTAGAATATTTTGGTTCAGAACTAAACTATCTTAAAGTATATTTACCCCTCTTACTTTCAGATTTGACTCTGAAATAAGCATTTCTTACTTCTTTTGAGCTGAGAGCTGTGTTTTGCATTCACAGTAGTTATTTGTATTTAAATAGTCAAGTTCTGATACTCTGGTATAGCCTAGTAGTAGAGCCAACAGTCAGTAACTGCAAGACCTTGGGCTAAGATCCACTTCACCAAAAAGAAAATGAAAAAGCAAACTTTCCTTTCAAAAATAAAACCCACAAAAACCTTTAAGACTGTCTTAAAATATCCAGTAGAATTAATCACATACTCTGTAAATAGTATTTCTCTCTTCTTTTGCAGTTATTAAACGTTAAAAAAATTTTTTTTGTCTTAGCATGCTGGCTACGGAATTCATAATCATGATTAAAAATGGGAATAGAATTAAAGAAAAATCGTGATTATAACTTCTCAGTAAATACTTTAAATATGCTCTAAGTAGAAAGAAATTTAAAAACCAAAATAGCTGAAAGAGAAACATAAGCAATAAAAATCAAATCCCTGAAAACCTGTGATGCCTTTTGGCAAACTTGTACGTCCTTTATACCAAACAGAGAGAGGACAGAGACGAACCTTATTATAGTAAGTCAGGTCACCAGTCAAGTAGCTGAGGTGCACAAATTCCATGTGCAGGGTGCCAAATTCAGCCAGGATGCTGCTGCCTGCAGACGCCCAGCCCCAGTTTCGACCTACTCCACTGAGTAACAGGGGGATAAAAAGAAACAGGATTAGGGAAAGAGAAACACGAGCATCTTAAATAGATCTTAGAAATTATTACATCTAATATAATAGTTTATCTTAATTTTTGTTTATTAAAAAATTTAAATCAATAATACAGTCAGGTTTTAAAAATCGAGACAAAATAAAAATTAAGCATCAAATATATTTTATCTATTCTCACCCCTTTACATCACTTAGCTCTAGAATCACTTTTTACTAGCTTCTTACACATGTAGAACTTTTATAAATACACAGCAATACATCTATTTGTTTGTTTGTTTGTTTGTTTTCTGCCTCGTATAGGCAATGAGTAAGTAAAATGTACTAGGCGCTCTGACCAGGCACTGTACTCTGGTAATGTGCCTTATTAGTCTTTCCGTATCAGCTCACAATAGCAGCTTTCTCATTGGTTTTAATAGCTGGGGAGAATTCTGTGTAATAAATGATTCTCTTATATACTTGCTTATTACTCTGATTAAGAAAACACTAAAATCTACATCTGGACATATAGCACTAATTTTTACAGCGCCTTCATTATAGAATACTATTTTCTCATTGAAATTATCAGAAGCAAATACCACTATCAATTTTTTCTTTTATAGCTAAATAGAGAATCAAAAACGGAATGTGGATATAGTAATATGTAAGACAGACATTTATTTTCACAAACAGTAAGAACTTGCTATGCTGCAGGACAGAAATCAATAAACATGACATAATATTCCTGCTCTTGTAACAAATAAGACCACTGAAATGGTAAAAACTACTACAAAGAAAATCAAGTTGAGAAATAGAATACTGAATAGTAAGGACAGAAAGTGCAACAGTAGAAAGGCCCTTTCGAGATTATCATCAGACAAAGTGTTTCTGAGTCCTGATCACAGAGGAGTCTCTGATGAATAGACCTCCAAGGAGAAAATTCCCCATAAAGGAAGCAGCAAATGCAATGGCCTTGAGGAGAGTGAAGGTGACAGACTGTAGCTAGAGTCTAGAAAGTCAACGCTACAGGATGCCATTAGAGAGCTAGCTATTCACCACTCCACACAAGGATGCTGTAAGACCATGGTAAATTTTCAGAATTTTTATTTTAGTGTGATATGAAACAAAAAAAAATAAGAATGGCAGCATATATTTTAGACATAAAGCATAACAGAGATCAGCTAGATTTCAGCTAACTAATGATTTTGTTATCCTCTATAAACAAAACCCAGGCAAGTCCAACAGTTTATAGTTTATCATGAAAAAAGTTACCAGCTAAAAGCAACAAAGGAAAACATCATTCAAAGTATATGCAAATAACTTTCAAAAGACCAAATTCTAAGCAAGTTTTTATGTTATTTCATAGACACCATTCTAAAATATAAAATTTGACTCATATATATTCTAACTTAAAAGAAAACTACAAAGAATAAAACTACTAAAGACTAAACCCAATTTAAAAGATTAGCTGCTTCAAACTAACACCATCATAATTTTTCCTACAAATGTTATTCTTTTCAACTGATCAAAGGGAGACATTAAAATGCTTTCATATATATATGTATATACATACATATATATGTGAAGAATATGCAATGAATACTAATAAACAAAACAATTAAAAACAACATGATGTCTCTCTTTGCTAAGCTCAACATCAGCAACAAGACATAGAAATGTTTGGCAAACTTTTGATGATTAAATAGTAATCAATTTAAGGGTCCTATAATTATTTTGAATTGTTTGATAATGGATCACCTACAATTTGTATTTTCCTCAAAGTCCAAACAAAATCTTTAATCTATTATGTATTTAAAGAACAAAGCTTCTAGTGACTTGCAATTTTAAGAGCAAACAACTGATGTTCATATTTATCCCATCAAAACCCAAGAAATTAAATAAATGAAAGCACTCACACAATGTACAAGTTTAAACTTAGAAACATGGTCAATAGGAATAAGCATATTCCTATTATAGAGCTCCAAATTTCACTCAGATGTATTACATTATGAAAATACAAGGTCTGAAAAAAATTAAGCAAAAATTTTAAAATAGAAATATACTTCATTTAAGCAGAATTTGCTCCAAAACAACTATACATACAATATTTTTCAAACTCAGACAAGAATGAAGAGAGAATATTAATAATTTCAAATGTGGATTAAATGTTTCCTTAACTTCCTTAAAAATAGTATTATTTTGGCAATAGTTTTAAGCAGAAGTATTCTACAACACATTAATTAAAATTTTTAAATTGAGGCTGGAGAGATGGCTCAGCAGGAGCCAGGTTTGGTTCTCACCACTCGCATGGCAGCTCACAACTACCTGAAATTTCAGTTCTGGGTGATTCAATACCTTCTGGCCTTGTGGACAGCAGGTACACATGTGGTACACATGTAGAAACACAGATAAAACACTTTTACACATAAAATAAAAATAATTTTAAATTATTAAATTATTTTAAAAGTAAAGAAGTAAACATTTTTGAATTTAAATGAAAGTAAACACATCAATGAGGCCACTGAAAGAAAAGCCACACTAAAACAGCCGAGCACCAAACAAGGCAAACATAACAAAATGACTGGAAGGACACACACCTTTCCACAACACCTCTGTGTGCTACTGTTACCAATTCTCCAAGACACATGCTAGCAGACTGTTCTTAACATCAGGACTCATGTCTTGACTGCCTGCAAGAAACACATCGTACTAGCAAAGACACAAGCAGCCTTAAGGTGAAAGAAAGGAAAGGATAGTCTAAGGCGAGGAAACTAGAACATACACAGATATGGCTTTACTAAACAAATAGACAAGACAGATGCACTAGTTGCTTTTTGTCAAGTTGGCACAAACCTAGGCATCTGAGAAGAGGGACTATTACAGAGAAAATGCCTCCACAAGACTGGCCTATTGGCAAGTTTGGGGAGCATTTTTCTTGATTAATAATTGATATGGGAGGACCCAGCTCACTGTTGGTGACCTCCCTGGACAGGAGGTCCTGAGTTGTAAAAGAAAACAGGCTGAGAAAACCATGAGGAGTAAGCCAATAAGCAGCACTTCTCCATGGCCTCTTCACCAGTTCCTGCATCCTGAGTTTTTGCCTTGAGTTCCTGCCCTGACTTCCTATAGTGGTTGATTACAACTATAAACTATTTCAAAATTCACTCTTTCTTCTCCAAGTTGCTTGGTTATTGATATGTTGTCACAGTAAAGACCCTAACTAAAACAGAAAGTGGTACCAGGTTTGTGGGGTACTGCTGACAGACCTGACCACGCTTTAATGAGATTGTGGGAAGATTTTGGAATACTGGGCTATTGTGTTCAAAGCTTAATGAACCAACAAGGGAACTCAGGTGATAATGCTGAAAGCAGAGCACGATGGAGGCCTGACTTGTGATGTTTTTGAGAGAAGAGTGTATCAGGTTATTAATGTATTGCTTTTTATTAATAAGTAGTGGTTCTAGTCAGTGGGAGCTGAAGAATCAGCTCTGATTAAGAAGAGACAGCATAACTGAGGCAAAATATGGGAAGTATCCTCAGGGTCTGCACACAGAGTCTGTGATATGGAAGGTGGCTAAGACTGTACCTCATGCTAACCAAAATGGGTTTTATTCTAGGAATAAAAGGATACTTCCTCATATGTAAATCAATAAAACCAAGCTATTATAGTCTTAAGGATATTAACAACACGATCACCTCAATGCAGAAAAGGCATTTAACAAATCCAATAATAAAGGCTATGTACAAAAGAACCAACAAACAATGTTACAATCAAACAAAGAAAGTGTTTCCACTAAATTAGGAGTGAGACAAGGATATCTACTTTCTCCCCTCCTGTGTGTGACAGCTTGGTTAGAGAAATTCGAGATACAAACAGGAACAAAAGAAGTCAAGTCATCCATCTGCAAACAAGATGATCCTATACACAAGAGAGCTAATGACTCCACTACACAACTCTTAGAATGGACAAACATATTCAGCAAAATAGCTGAATACAAAGTTAACATATAAAAATCAGTAGTTCTCTAATACATGTAACATGAAAAGAAAATCAGGAGAACACAAATCAATCATTTTTTTTAAGAAAGAGAAGAAAAAAACTAGGATAAGCCTAACAGAAAGTAAGTAAATGTTCCAATGATAATTTTACAACACTGTAGAAACTGGAAATACTACAAAATGAAAAAACCTCCCATGCTCGTGGGACAGTAAAATTGACATTGCAAAAATAGCTATATCACCAAAAATGACCTTATTTAATATAATCATCATCAAAATTCCAGTAACCTTTTTTACAGAACTAGAAATTCACATGAAGGCACAGAAGACTGCAAACATCCAAACCAACCCTGAGCAAAATGGACAATACCGAGGGTATTTTGAATTTTGAGTTACCCTACAAAAAAACAGTATCCTGCAGGTACAAAGCAGACACAAATTAATGGACTAGACAAGAAGACCCAAAACTAAACCCATACAATTACGAACTATATTTTTTTACAAAGATGCCAATAATATACACAGTAATATACTCTGAGGGAAAATAACCTCTTCAACATATAGTGCTGGGAAAATGGACATATACATGTAGAAGAATGAAAATTCTCATTCTGAACAAAAATAAATTAAAAATGAATAAAAGACCTTATACTGTACAACCAGAAATTCTAGAACCTGGTGCTAAGGAGAGAAAACATTTCAAGATACAGGTACTGTCAAGGACTTTCTGAAGAAGACTGCAGCAACTCAGAAAATAACACCAAAAATTGACAAATGAGATTGTATCAAAGCAAAAGCTTTTGTACAGCACCAGAGACATCAACTCAAGAGATAAACTCCAGAGAATATTTACTACCTATGCGCATCTTGCCAAGGATTAGTATCTACACTGTAAACAGACTCAAAGCCTAAATGCTCCAAACCCAAATAACCTAGCACTTGTGTATAATTTACATACAAAGATGTAAGCAATGGGGTGGGGAGTGTTTAACTGGAAAA